GACTTCCAATCCCCCAGAAGCAATCACACTCAACTCCTTTAGCTATCTCTTTGGATATTTTCACCTCTTATAAGGATGTCTTTGTCAGTCTTAAACATTATCTTTTCTTTCCTGTTTGCATATTTTAAATTTTCTGATGCCTTTTCCCTCCCTGACTGCTCTTTTTCACAGCCTCCTGTTCTTGTTTCATGACGTAGTAACTTCTCTTATCTATGACTCTACCGATGCCAGGCATTTTAAAGTTGTCATCTCTGTGCTTCATGGCACTCCAGTTGCCTTTGGCACTGGTTTTGTTCTGTTTGGAGTTACAGGCTCTCCTCAGGTGTTCAGGGCATCCCTGAGCTTCCAGGAGCTTCACCTGGCAAGACTCGACTGAGTCATTTGGCTGGGAATCGTTCCAGCTGATGAGATTACTCTGCGCATTTTACTCTCACAACTGAATGTAAACACACACACAGCCAACAGCATCCTGGGAGGGAGTACAGCTGTAACCCTTCCCTGGCCGCACTGCTTTTAGTGTGGGGCACTTGCCCTCGACTGCGTCAAGAGACTTGCAGGGCAGAGCACCTCTCATTCAACCTCTCGAGAAAACACCTCCAGACTCATCACACTGGAGGGGCAGTAGCTGCCTGATTTCTGTCCAAACCCTGCTCAGCTCTACTTCATCTCTCTTCCAGAGCCACGTGGTGCCCAGGGCCTGAACACTGAAGCTTTCGACCCCTGGGCCTCCTGATGGTTGTTTGTCCAGTCACTGGGCTGAGAGTAGGACAGAGCCTCTGACACCGTCTCCTCTGCTCACACCTCTCGGAGCCCCTCCTGTCTCTAGGCCAGGGTGTGAAGGCCCTGGGCCCCATGTCACCCTCGGGAGGGCCCACACTCACCTTTGGTGCGGCCTGGGTGCCGGGGGGTGGGAGCGGAGCTGGAAGGGGCTGCCGTGATGGCTGAGGCCGAACAGGTCCGGGAGCCCAGCTCGGACGGCCAGGACTTCATGACCAGGTCGGTGGAGGCTTCTGTGTGGTCGAGGCTGCCTCCATGTGGGGACCCTCGCTTTGGTTTTAGATCCCCAGGGCCTTGAGCAGAAGAGGACATTGAGAAATGAGACCACAAAGCCCGTGCTAAGGCTGGGCAAGCACACTGAGGCCCAAAGCAGGCGCAGCAGGGCACGAGGACCACAGAGACACAAGCTGGGCACCACCCCTCCCAGCTACTCTGGGCCTGCTGGGGACTCCACAAGGCCAGAAGGCTGGAGAAACAGGGCACACTCAAGAGCAAATGCTGGCGGAGTCTGGAGTGGTAGCTCAGGGCACACGTCTCCAGCCCTAGCTCCCCTCTGCTGAGGACCACTCCGGCCTGCAGCCAAAGCACAGGGACCCTTAGAATTTCACAAAGAAGTCTACTGCCAACCTCAGTCGTCTGTCTCCTGAAAAGAGCAGCCCCGAGCTCCCCGTGGTGAGGCAGACACGAGGAGACGCGCACCTCATGTCTCGTACTTTCAGCACTATTAACTTTTCTACCATGAACATATGCTCTTGTCAAAATTGAATATAATCATGCATTAGAATGTTTAAAAACAAAACAAAAATGAAGCGGGAGGGAGGGTGGGCGATCCAGGTACAGGGGAACACTAATGCCAGCGCAGCTTGGCATGCCACCCCCTCCCTGAGCCCCAGGCCACGAGTCCTGTGGAGAGGCGGCCTCCCGGGCACTCGGTCTGGGCTCACTGCAGTTCTGATCACCCAGGTCTGATCTGAAATCGGGGACAATTTGGGTTTTGAAAGATGACCTTGATGAGAAGCAAGATTCAAGTCTGGTGGGATGAAGCGGGAGAGGTCATCCTGTGGGAGAGGTGAAATGAGAGTCCAGAGCGGAGG